TTGCCCCTCCCCTCCTCTTTTTTGTTTTGCCAAGCATTATTTCCATCATTTTTTTTTAACACTCCCCAGTCTCTCAATAATAATCCACTTATAGTTCAGGCTTATCCCAATTTCTGAATCTGCCTCCGCAGATGAATTACTTTTCCTTTACCCCACATGGCTTGAGCTTGGCCAGCTCCCTCCTTCCCTTCGGATTTTGTTGCTAGGTAACAACATGCTTAATCCCCTCCACCCTGCTGGTCCATCCTCAGGCCTCTAAGGCCATTATGATAACTAAGCTTGTCAGGTCAGAGAATGGGTATTCTAAATTGCCACCCAAAAGGTTGGCACTCTGGTTGGAAGAGGATGACTAAGGTATTTGTTTGGAGGCTGTATTTGTGGCATACACACTGATTTTACTTGGATTATATTTTAAAGTGGCTTTTCCCTCCCTCCCAAGTTGCCCACTAGGTCATACTCTGACCTTCAGTTCCCACAGCAGTACTTTACTGGCAAATCCCCATTCAGAAACTCTTCAAGAGAAAAACATGGAGAATAGAAGAAAAAAAGCAGTGGCCAGAAATAATTTATACTTGGCTTTGAGATACATTTATACATTATGCTTTTACAGCTAATCTTGTTAATTTTATTCACTTAGATTTACATTAAAAATAATATACATCAACTGAAAGCTGAAGGATACAGCCAAGAAGCAGGAATAAAACAATTAGGATTAAAATATTATCATCATAATTCACAAAGTATGTAGAGGATTTATAGAAAGATAGCTAGTTTCATTTTGTTTAGTAAGACATTTTGGAAAGTCATGCAATTCTCAAATAAATATAATAATTCACATATGTCTTCTATATTATTGTTTACCTATAGGTAGATTATTCAGAAGACCCAGGTTATGAAACAAGTGTTGTACCCCTTCCTCCTCATGACAGACTTAGAAAATGCGTGGTGGGTTAAAGAGTTGGACAATTTTTAGTAACTATTTTAATGGTTCTCTGCTTCTTGCCATTCTTGTTCTAGACAAAAAGTTGGACTGAGGATATTCAGGTTTTCTAATTTTCCACATATATATAACTAAAACAAATTCAGTTTCAGTCTTACCTGAAAGGAAATATTTTTGTTCCTACAGGAGAGAGTAAAAATTGTTTTACACTTCACTGAGAGGGTTACTGCCATACTTCTAGGGTTGCTATCTTTATATATATATATGATAATTTCAGTCTGGGATGCATTATCTGAAATAAACATTAACAAATGAGAACATTAGTTAGAAGAATTTTTGCAAATCAATATTTATGGAAATTAGCCAAATGATAATACTTAATAGACCCGATACCAATCTCACAGCCTGAGATTTGGCCAGTTAGCTGGAGGCCATATGCAGCTGCTCACACATCCTTTAAAACATTTAAATATGTATCACAACACAAAAATAGCAACTTTTTGAGTATTTAAAGGATATTCTGAATTCTAAAAGATTGTATTTAATTTTTAAATGCTAAATACAATATTAAAAATCTACCTGTTGCCCGGCCAGTTTGGCCCTGTGGTTGAGTATTGACCTAGGATCCAGGAGATAGCAGTTTGATTCCCGGTCAGGGTACATGTCCGGGTTGCAGGTTCTATCCCCAGTAGGGGTGTGTGTAGGAGGAAGCCAATCAATGACTCTCTCATAATTGATGTTTCTATCTCTCTCTCCCTCTTCCTTCCTCCCTCTGAAATCAATAAAAATATATTTAAAAAAATATCTACCTGTTAAGGTAAAGATTCAGGATTTTTCAAGAGTCCACATTCACTGTTTCAACTCTGCCTAAACTCTGCTATTTGGAATTTAAAGCTTGGAAAACACAGCGAATTTACTTATTTTCTAAGCACTCTATATTTCTGGTGGAAGACAGACTTAATTGAAATGCCTGTGTATTTATTTTTAATTTCGTGTTTGAAAATGCTGTCAGCAATTTCAGCTATAGCCAGCAGGTGTTAAGGACCTGACTCTATAGAGATCTTAGTTCATGCAATTACAGTGAAGGAATTGGTGATCCAAATGCAGACCCAGAGTAGCATGACCCCTAGCAATATCTTAAACATTTTTAAAATTAAATTTATTGGGGTAACATTGGTTAATAACATTGTATAAATTTCAGGTGTACAATTTTACATGATATTTGTACACTCTCTTGTGTGCCCAACACCTGAAACCTAGTCTTTCGTCACCACATATTGGATTCCCTTTACCCTTTTAATTCTCCTCCCAACCCCCAGCAACATCTTTATTGTGTCAAGTTTTCACCCCAACTAAAATATTTGGATACCCTACAAAGTTTCTTGTAAGTGAAATTATTACTATTGCTATTACTTTTCATTTAAGGACTAGGTCTATAATAGAAAATGTTGGCAGTAAAATGGAATAAGAAGTGGCTTGTCATTTCTATGTTTGTAAATATATTTAAAAAAAATACCTCGACACTCAGAATCAGTCATATCTTCAAACATAGGTTGTTTTCCTTGGTAAACGAAGAGAACTTGGTTGTTCAGATTTCGTATGATTGACAATCTAGGTTCGAGCTTGCCGAAGTAATCTGATTCCAGGTTTTCTAGAATGCACATTAAATCTCATTAAAAATAAGTTTTTTTCTAAATTCACAAGTAGGCATACTCTGTATTTCAGTTCTCCATTGATCACAATCTTCGGCTACAGAAGCAGCTGAGATAAAGTTGCACAATGTTTTTAACCCACTTCCAGGGCATACCATGCTTCCTGTCATCACCCTGAACTCCTCTACCTTTGAATTTTAAATTCAAATATTCTGCTTTCTGATCTCAATCTCCTATCCTACCTGTTTTATACTTTTCCTCCGCATCACCGAGTCCTCCTGATTCTAAAACAGGCGTTTTCTCCTTACCTAACCTTCCCGTCTTCCCTTCATTCTCTATGCAGTCTGGGCCTTATGGTTCATCATGCCGTCTACCCTGTGCCAGTCTCTCCAATCCCGGACTCACTTGTTCATTTGTCTTTCTACTACACAACCCCAAACCTGGCTGTTGAGTGTCACTGGTAAACAATTATACAAATGTGCAAACTGGTGCCCTCCTCCCAGAATCTCCTGGACTGAAGTAGGTGCCCATCCACCTGCTCCCGTGGCGCCCTGTGCCTTAACGCACTCTATTCGAATCGCCTTCCGTAAGTGCTTGCCTTTCCCTCTAGGGGCTGTGTTTTTCTTATCACTGTGCCACAGTGCCTGACAGTCCTGGGGAGACAGACGCCAGGACAGGGTGGGCAAGGGCAGGTTTACAGCTGTGAGTGCGTGAAACAGAGTTTATTCTTGTATTATTATTTATTACAATAATAAATATTGTAAACCTACTTTTACCCTACCCTGTATGAATTAATAAATGGAGAGTAGGGCAATCTCTAAGAAACATGAGGAGTTACATGTCATTATATCTCAATAAAGCTGGGAAAAAAGAAACGTGAAGGAATAGTATTTTTAAAAAAGTTATTTTTTCTATTTCTAGGCCAGTAAAGATCACCTTTATTAAAAATGGGGAAAGTGCCATTTTTAAGGAAAAGTATAATAAACTAATGACCTTTAACAACCTGGGATCTGTTAGAGGATCACAAGCTAGATATGGGTATGATGCCCTCTGAATGCCAGAAGGACAAGGGCTGGGCACACCCACTTCCTGGGAAGACTTAATGACAGCCTTACAGTTCTCGCGGGCTCCAGCCTTCCCTATCTCCTCGACCTTGAGTGTGTTCTTTCCCTGGGAGCCTCCCAGGCTTCTTCCCTAGCATTTCTGAGAGAGAGAGAGTTGAAGAAGAAAGATGTTCTGGATTTTGGACTACACTCCTCTTGCTTCGATCCCCTTTTCCCATGTACTCTAGAGCATCCATGACCTCCTGCTAATCTCAGAATCTGTGTAACGGCAAAGTCTGATTCTAAGAGCTGGAGAATTTCCTGAAGGGTAGAGAAGCAACTTTGTTAGAGGTTCTCTTTTGTATCCTTTACGGTCAGCTTTATTCCAAGGCTGTGCTATTGGGTCCACACTGCTTTGAGGGAAGATCAGCTTCTCAGATAGATTGGTACCAGATTCTGTCCACTAAGAATGGTGATACAGGGTGTTTGTGCGATGCTTACTTAAGTAGCTATTTTTACTTTTGCAAAGAAAGAGAAAAAAATTTATACTTTACCATCACTTTCAGCTAAAGGGGAAAAAAGAGAAAAAATATGTTAAATTCTTTATTTCAACTCAGAATCTCCTCTCACCCTGCCTTTTATTACTCTTTTCTGCCACTCCCCATTATTTAACACCCCTCTTACAGGAGGTGCTTTCTGTTGTTGGCCCCATCAGAAATATTATCTAATCATCTAAAAGGTCCCATAAAATGAAGCTCATTAGACTTAGTGTGTTCTCTGGTAAGTTAGACATAAAACCTAAATCCAGAGTTTATAAATATAAATTTGTAACTAAAAATAAATTTTATAGAATGATAGACTTTACTCTTAAATTTATTGCTTCAATGGAAGGTTGTCTCAGGACTTTCTATGAAGCTTTCAAATGAAGCCAAACAGCCCACGGAAGACTAATCATAAGAATCTGTTTTTATTTGTCAAATATACTTACATGATATGGTACAGCTCACTAACAGAGCTCTAGATTTAAGGTATCTCTTATATAATTTGCCAATTCACTTTTGGGAACTGTATTCCCTAAATGTACTAAATTTTGTGGAATTTTCATGATGTGCACCAGCTTCCACCTTGTAAGTGGGCTGCTGCTAAATAAAATGCAGGGGCATGTGGTGGGACAAAGTGCTGGGACCTTGGATATATAATGGTTAACTTCTAGAAGCCCAATATATATATATATATATTTTCCCAGAGAGGAATATCATTAGCATTACAATGGAATTTGATGACAGTAAGGAGTCACTTAGTAGTTCATCTCACAATGCCTTTTCTAGTTGACTACATTTATCTGAACCCTGTATTTGGCCTATTGCTTTAGACTTACCTTTAAAGTAAAGTGTGTTGTCAATAAATTTCATTTTCACAAAATCGATGCAATCATTTTCTACTGGTTCAACAGCCATCTTTATTCCTAATGAAAGTAAATAGTTGTCTGTTAAAAGGTAGTGATTGTTCCTTTGACACAAAAGGAATCTTTTACCCCTTACTGCCTTGTCCTACTCCCAAACTCAGAAGTCAGTGTATCACCCAGATGCTGACGAACCCTCTGGGCGTTTAAAAGATGCCGGGAGCCTTCCCCTTATGTATACACATGCTCAAGCATTCTCGTGCAAACCACCAGATATTTAGAATCCAGACAGCATTTTCTCATTAAACAGTGTTACAAAGGGTGGATAAGTGGCCCATCACTGAACTATATTATCAATATAAATTTAAGATTCCAGAAACACACCTAATCCTGTCCTTTAACTACGGATTGGTTCTACTGTCTTACAAGCAGTGGGTTCCTGGGAGTGAGAGACGGATGGTTTGCTATCAAAGTGCTAAAGGTGAGGTAATGAAAAAAATGGTGCTTCCACTTGGGAGTGGGGGCAAAGTCGGGGGAGGCTGTGGGCTCTGGCATCTGATGGCCCCCTTCCTCCCGAAGCAGCAGCAGTTTTTGATCTGAAATCTGGACATTATGCTTTTTACACAAGTAATACATAAATGCAATCTTTCTGTAAATAATCCAATAACACAGGAATGGAAAATGTAAAAAATTCTTCATTTTGCTTTTCTCCCCTGCCCCAGCCTACCCCACCCCACTCCAATATGGTGTGCCTACTTTCAGATTTTTGTCTGAAAGAGGGGTTCTAAGTCTGCAAAATTTGTGAACTTTGATGGGAACAAAAGTAGGTTTTCAGTTGTTTGTATGAAAATAATACAATAATCAATACATAGTAATACAAGAATAAGCTGTGTTTCGTGTATGCACAACCGTAAACCTACTTTTGCCCTACCCTATATTTATTTTCACCAACTTCTAACTGAAATTTAGCAGTTCCTTCCATTATGTTATAGGAGACAAACCACAGTATTATTAGTAGTAACTGTCACTAATAGAAATACAGATTTCCTATTGTGTTGTAACTGTTGCAGAGATCTTGAAATATATGGTTTAAATTCATTACTTCTTCAAAATATATGAAAATTATTAGTCCCACCAGTAGATCTTGTTGTTTAATGCACCAATAAAGAAGCATATATGTACTGTATTACAATTTGTTAGAAAAAATTTTTTGATAACACTCTTTTAATATAATGAGTTTCTTTTATAATCTTAAGTATTTAATTTTATGCAGGTAAAAACATCTGAGAAGGGGTCCACAGACTTTACTGGATTGCCCATGGGGGTCTATACTACAGAAATGATTAAGAAGCTCTACTCTAGAGTTCAGGAATATCTTGGGTCCCTGAGGGCAGTTATAGTTGGGGCTCCAAAGAAGGTGGTTAAGTCATAATTGTCATTGGTATATATAGGCGTATTTATAAGCTTATGCTCAGAGGTAGAGAACTGACTCAAATTTTTTCTAGTATAGTCTGCTACGGCCAACCATGTATGATAGAGGTATCAGGAAATTAAACCCCAGTTGCAAAAACGTAATCTAAATTAAGCTAACCCTAAATACTTGTCATTTGGTGGTTATGTAACAGTTCTATCTAGGTGTGGTTTCTTACACACATACAAATGTGGTTATTAAATTGTAGACAGATAATATACACACACACACACATATAAATTGGTGACATAAAGGATAGCATGGTCTTTTCTACAAACTTTAGTATTATGTAATGCACACATATTTTATAAAAATAATTCATCTGAAAAGTACTAAGTAGTATGTGTAGGAATTTGATGAAATTACTAGTGTTTGCTACAGTTTTTATTTAGTCAATGAGTGAATGGATTTAGAGGACATAATTACCTTAAAAATAATAATACTACACAATATTTGAGTTCATTCATCTATTCATCGTTGAGTATCCACTATGTATTAGATAGGGGGCTAGAAAGTTGACAGAGACACACGCAGGAGATTTCGTTCCCACCCTCTGATTACTCAGAGTCTAGTGGGAAAGACAAATATATAAACAATTACAAAATAGTATAATAAATGTTATAATAACTGGATTTACAAGAGATCCTCTCTGTGTGATGGTGTTGAAGAAGTCTTCTTAGAAGAAAAGATGATTGTGCTGCCTTGAAAGACAGGCAGGCATTTTCGAGGCCGGGGAGAGCACTCCACAGAGCGGATTGTGAGCAGAAGCCAGAGAGCAGGAGGCTGAGAACGGCTTGTCTGGAGCCTCATCATTTGTACCCTAATTAATGCAAACGCAGTTACATTTTATAGAAAGAATGCATTTCTGAAGATCTCACATAGATCAAGATGAATTTTTCCTTGGGAATAAATATAAAAGTATGTGAGGAGATACCTTTGGAGTCCATAAATCTACAACAACCAAAGTGGATTCTTGTTTTCTTTTTTTTCAACTTTCTCAGTATTATGACTAATGTTTTGCAGAGTGCTCTCTCCATACCAGCTATCATGAATGGTACTTTGGCCTTTTTAATATTGTTTACTTGCATCTAAATTTTGTCCCACTTTATTTCTTTGTTTTTCAGCACAAGCAGTAATAATATCCTGCAGCACTCTGCTAACATCATTATCAGGTATAAAAATATTTAAAATTATAATAGTAGTGAATTTTAAAAGATTAACAGCACAATAGCTGTGTGTCTCAAGAATTTCTGAGATAAATAGTCTCACATAATACTGACATGGAAGCAGGTAATTCTACCAGGTATAAGAGACCCTTCCATGTGGCAAGTGTTTACAGTGCACAACTTACTTGGCCTACCACTTTGAAATGATGTTATTGTAGATAAACTAATTTGGAGCTCACATATTTCCACTTTGCCTAGAGAGTGAGGGTATTATTTTTATATGACATTAGTTTGATTCTGTCTAATTCAAGTCACATAAAATGCAACTTGCAATGAAGTTTGGTTTGGTAAAAGCTTGTAAAGGAGAGTCAGATTATAAAGGCCTGTTTAAGCTAAAGTGTTTGCAGTTTTTTTCTGAAAAAATACTACCTAACTTTCAGTAGGAGAAATACGTTTTCCAATTTATGTTTTAAAAAGTCAATAATCTGGCAGTAGTGTAGAGAGTGGATCTGATGGGACAAGACCGGACAGAGGCTAGAAAACCACCTTAGAAGAAGCAATTTTACCAGTGAAGGTAAGAGTTGGTGAGCCTGCTACACTAAGGTGGCACCTGAGGGGGATGGAAGGGAGAAGATGGACTCGAACAGCAGGATGTTTTTTAGCTGACTGGCTATGGGTCAGGTGGAAGAAGGAGGAACTGAGAATGACTTCAAAGTTTCTGACTTGAGCAATTTGTTGAGCGTTACCTTATTAGCTAACAAGAATAAAAGAGAGGCTTGAGTGGAAAATAATTAGTTCAGTTTCACAAATCTAAGAAGCGTCACAGGATTCAAGGGAAAAGGAGCTTCAGGGAGGGGCTGCTTGAAATCAGAAACATCAGAGCCCATAACTTGAATACGAGCTTAAGCTTGTTCACTGACCTTGATGATTAGGAAGTTTTGGTATCTGTAGAACAGTTTAGGGAAAGTGGAGGTAAAAAAAGGCAGGTTGACAAAGATCTAGGACAGAATGGGATGGGCAAACAGTATAGACAGTGGATACAAACTATTCTTTTAGGAAGTTTGGCTATAAAGAGAAAGGGTGTTATCTATTGGGGGATATAGAACTTGCAAATTTCAATTTCTGGCTACAGATCCACATTTCCAAATGTAAGGTATACTAAAGAATTACTTTCCCGAACATGTCCAAATGACCTGCTCAGAACTGAAACCTGCAAGTCCTTCCTGACTCATTTGCCTATTCTTTTCTCTGTCTCATAAATACTGTAGATTATAACTCAGAAGTGGCTTTGCAATTTGGTGTCACCTCTCCATCTCCACCAGCACTTCAAAAAATCAAGCCATCATCACTTATCAGTTCTGGAATCTTCTACTGTAATACTCTACTCTTCTTGGTTTTCTTGCTTCCAGACTTTCCCTTACTACATTCCGCCTGAGTCATCCCCCTGCTCCCCCGCCCCCAAGCCCTTCTTTCTTTAAGTCGAAGCTCAACATCTCCTCCAGAAAAACTTCCCTGACTCCGAAATTCCTAGCTAATAATTCTTTCCTCAGTACCCACCTTCCCCAATCCTTCCCCTTTCAGATTATTTTGATGACAAATAGTTCTTCCCAGCTTTAATTTGAATTTCTTTAAGATGAGTTATGCTTTTTTTTTTTTTTTTTTAATTTTCAACACCTGGAAAGAACTTACACACAGTAAATAAGTGTTTGCTACGACAAAACTTGTCACCATGACAACAATGTGTAAAGGGCGAGTAGAATTTTTTTCTAAAGATTTTTTTTCTTTGTTCATTTTTAGAGAGAGAAGAAGGGAGAGGGAGAGAGGGAAACATCTATGTTGATCAGCTGCCTCCTGCATGCCCCCTACCAAGTGCTACCAGGGCATGTGCCCTGATGGAAAATCGACCTGCAATCTTTCAGTGCACAGGACGATGCCCAACCAACTGAGCCACACCTGCCAGGGCTAGAACTTTTTTCTGTCTTAAAGCTTTCACTCCATCTTAAAACCAGAAAAAGAAAACAAGGGAAGTCTAAAGGCAGGTTTTGAAAAATAGAATAATTTCTCTAATGTTCTTCCTCTTGATTTTTCCCCCTAGGAGTTTCTCTTTACTTCATGTGAGTTTATTTTGAATTCTTTATTCTCTTACCACTCTTTTTGTTAGATCTTAATACATTTGTCATTATGAGGATGGTGTCCCTTCACTCCTCTTCCTCCAACTTTCCTTTTTCTTTCTCATCTGTGTTCCTTTGCTTTCTTAACTCCAATCTATAAGAATCACAGTTTCCATTGGATAAAAATGTTTAAGAATATTTCATCTAAGATACCTAGATTACTGACTTTTATTTTTTTAAGAGTTATAAACCACTTTAGAAAGATTCTCCCAGGAATATGCAGTGACAATTTGTTCTTGGAAACAAAAACAGTTTTAGTTATGCAAACCTTGGAAACCAGCTAGAGGCTGGTGGATGGTAGAAAATTACGATGGAAATTAGGCCACATGTGCTCCACACTTGTCCGGGGCTAGTCATTTAATTTGGAGGATCTCAGTTTTCTCATTTGGGTAAACAGGGAGTTGAGTGGTCAGTCTTTAAGGTCTTTTCCAGCTCCAGCATTTTGTAATTCTAGATTCTAGATAAGGCTGGAAGGAAAGAACCATTTATCTGTGGCAAATGCCCTAGTAACCACTTCCTCGTAAGTCTAAAACAACATGTATTGATTGAATAGCCAGCATTGTTAAGCTAGTAGGAGTTTAAAAACATACTATTAGATTAAAAGTAAAAATGTTCCAATTCTGTGATAAAATGAAGAAGCATATTACCTAATTCCCTGAAATCAGATATGTAGTCATGTTGACAGCAACAAGATTCAAAACCCAGATTTTTAGTTCTGCAAATCATTTTGTCCTTGAAAATGTGGCCATCTTATTAATGTATGTGGGTATGGTGGAGGTGAGGGTGGAAAAAGGCCTAGGTAAAGATTTAGGTAAATAATGAATAAAAGATATATAATTAACTGCTAAATACAGACTAAAAGCGAAAAGCCAAAACAGAACTGATATAGTGGGACTGGCCTTGTGTGAAAAGGAAAATAGAATTTAATCTTAAAGCATGCTTAAAATTTATACAGATGGAAGGGCATTTATGTGATCACTAAAACAAAGTTATGTTGGTGGTGGGGTGTGGACTGAATAGGATCATATTTTTTACACTATGGGATCAATCCGGCTGCCCTACAGTAAACACAAGGTAGAGTGGGGTTAAATTATTGAGGGCTTTGGAGAAGTCACGTAGAAGCATTTGAATTTAATCTCACAGGCTACTGAGCTGACAGTGCATTATGAAAGAGATTAGAGACAGGCTATGAAACTACTGTAAGAATTCATGTAGGAATTCAAGCAAGAATTCATAATATTCATGTAGGGATTATATGAACAAATCACATTTAAAAAGATATTTTAAAGGAAGATTTAATAGAACTTGAAATAGCTGGATATAGGCAAAAAGAAGAGGATTTTTAAGGGTGTCCTAATTTTTGTTATTCATACTTCAAAATAGAGATATTTATTCAGCCCCTTTCTCATTGTGAAATAAAATTCTTCTGGGGAATGCTATAATATTGTCCAGCTGCAGCCCGGCCAGAAGGTGCTGATGCAGATTCCATCAAGATTATCAACCTTTGGCCAATTTTTTGTTTGCTTTTAAAATAATTGATTCAGAGTTGAGACTCCCTTTTTAAAAAAAAAACCACTTATTTTATCATTCTAAAGCAGCAGTTCTCAGGGGGTTTCTGAGGTAAAAGTTGTTATAGTAATTCCAGGATGTACTTTCTCTTTTTCATTCTTATTCCCTCACGAGTATATAATGGAGTTAACTGGAGGCTCCCTTCTGTGTGATATACATAGACTGAGCCAGAAGCACATGAGAATGCAGTTATCTTCTATTAAGCCAGACATGAAAGACAATTGTAGAAATAAAAAACAATGTCACTCTTCACAGATTTTTTTTAAAAGGGATCTATAATTAAAAATGTTATTTATGCTAACCTGTGATATGTTTGTTGTTATTTTAAAATAAATCAATAGGTTGCTATTTTAAAAATTTCTCAGTTTTAATTTCATATACAGTAAATGACAGTAATACAGTAAATAACCCAGAGAAAGAAAAATTCTTCAGGGTCCTTAATAATTTTTAGATATGTAAAGAAGTCATGAGACCAAAAAGTTTGAGAAAATTTGCTCTAAAGTGGTACTCTCTAATGGTGGCTAAAAGAGAGGTTTCTAATCTGACTTGGCTATGTTCCTTACGTTGTTACTGACTGCCCATCATAGTGATGCCAGAAAACTTAAATTTCTCTGAGTTGCTTTCTAGTTTATTTACCTCTAATCTCCATGCTTGGGTTTGCAAATAAAGAGGAATGATATTTCTTACCTGTGCTCAAAACTTTCCTAGAAGAAAAAGCGATCTGGATGGTTTGAGGTCCCTTTCTCTTCCTGAGGCTCTGTGGATGGTGGAAGGTGACAGCCTCCTTCAGCTGGCAGCCAGGAATGCAGAAAGCATTGGCAGGCAGAGTCCTAGCTGCTGGGCCGTCTGGATCCCGCAACGTCAGAGGAAGAGGGAGGAATGAGGAAGAAAACTGGAGGGAGGAGACTTCTGGCCCGCCTTGGGCCCGCCTTCAACCCTGCGCTTTCTTAGGGCAATAGAACTTGAAATAAGTTGTCAGAGAATAGGGGTATTTCTTTAATGTAAAATCATCATTTTAACGAAACCATTTCTTCTTTAAAAGTTGGAGTTCTGACTGTCCAAAGTTTGTACCTCTTTCAGAAGTACATCCAAACAACTTTTTAAAAAGCACCTGCGTGGTCAATTAGAAGCATCTTTCTCATGCTAATCTGTTTGAGGCTTTCTACTCATACTTCAACACAAAACTTTCCTATTTAACAGTACTGAGTCATTAGCTCTATTAGAATAACCCATGGGATGTAATTGTAACACCTAAAACATAACTTTTGAAAAGTAGAGTGTAAATATCACAGCCTTGAAAATAATCAGTAGAAACAAAGCTTTTAGACAATTTTTTTTTCTTTTTCTTGGACATGTGCTAAATTGTACTACCTCGCTAGCAGGGTCATTAGCAAAGTGATTTTTGGTGTTTGCTTTCTTGCCAGTACAGAGACTGTATGGAAACAGGGGTTCTAGAGTTAGGAAACAAAATGTTTCCATTAGCAGCTAGTTAAATTCGTTTGTTTTATTTTCAACAAGGGTGTTTTCATTTTATAAGGTCATAAAGGCATCATGCCCACGGTAGTGATTCAAAAGAAGTCTGCGGCCGGATGGTTGTAGGTGCTTGGTGTGGCGGTTCTCAGGAGCAAACCGTACACATTTAGGAAGCGTGTGACAGAAAGGAGACGCACACACATGCCAGGTAAGACAAGAGTAGCGCAGGGCTGAAACTGAAACAGGTTTTCACCCTCCAGCCGCAATGCCCGGTCACCAGTCTAACATGAAAGTGCCAAGGGGAGTCACAGGGGTCAGCAGAGGGACAGACAAATTCATCTGAAACGGCTTATTGCCAGTCATTCTCCCTCAGCTGTAAAGATGTAGAGTGCATAGCTTAAGCCGTTTCTGAGTTTGGGGGCACACATTTTTTTTCTTTGATACAGAGTAACCCAAACGCCTCCATGTCCTGCCTGTTTCCTAGGGTTGTTTGTGAAGATTAAATGAGACAGGACAGCCCTTTGAATACTTTAAAGCACTAGACAGCTATAACCCTCCACACTCTCGCACTTATTTTTACTCATTTAGCTTATACAAGGGAGACAAGATCTAAAAAATGAAATAAAATGTCTGTAGTGTTCTCTTAATCTGATGTAAACACTTATGTATTAGGTGGAATCATTTTTCCTGGACATAGTTTAAGAACTGGGTGACTACCTGTTTTAGAGATCATACACTGTGAGGGCAGGGAGAGGAATTAGATGAGTATTTTCCACACTTTGGGGTTTAACGGGCCATAAAAATAATAACGATAATGATAATAATGAAGAATAGGTAAGCGCTAAGTAGACAGCTTTATATCTTACTAAGGATGTTAAAAACCTAAAAATCTTTATATTTTTAGTTCATGAAAGGGCACTTTAACACCAAAAAAAATTTAGGAGAGACATAGTATTAGAATAAATGGCAATTCTTTAAATACATTGGCATTATGAGATTTTCATTACTTTTTCCCTCACTTGACCACAGATGGGGGAAATTTCAACATAGATTGTTATCAGCCCTTACACAACGACTGCGATCCTTTCAAGACTGTCAATAACTGCACCATAATGATCTAGCCTAGTTTGACTGATATTTCACAATATTAGCAAATAAAGTTAAACGAACTGAGTGTGTGTTTTCTAGGCACTTATTTAAAACAGTTGGCTTTTCCACAGCCAGCCAATAAACAAACATCGACACAAGACACTTACGAGTCTGTATGACAACTAACATTTACATATGTCCAAAGGGGAAAACATTACATTTTATATGTTAAATATCATTTGCTAAGGGGTGGCAACTGTTAACAAAAATCGAGTAGTTATTTCCTCACAGAAGAGTATTTATTCGGGAAAAAGAAAGGTCACAATCCAAGCGGTGCAGCCGTGGCGGCCTGGGGGCCTCGGGCGGGACGAGCAGGGGCCCCTTTGCAGACGGGAGGGGAAGTTAGGGTGAGGGGCTGCCCCGTCTAGAGACACAGGGTGTGACAGCTTCGCCCACGGGTCCTCCTATTCCAGTCTCGGTTTGCGGTATGGGCCATAAATTTTGACAGATTGGGTGCCTGGAATTTATGGGGGGTGTTACTGACCTTTGTTTTATGAGCTGATAGCCTCGTTTCCTTCCACATCACCTAACTGGGCATACGTTTAGAATATCTCTCTTTGATACTGCAGGTCAAAGTCGCCGCACGAAAGGCCCAGGAGGCTAAGCTTCAAGTATGTGGGTCATGTGTGTGACAAAACAGTTTTCGAAAGCTGTCAATTAAGTGGACTAAACGCACTGACACATCAAGAAAGCAGTTTTCGAACAGGGTGTGATTCTCAGTGTGGCTGCACCAAAGAAAAAGAGGTTAAGCAAGGGAGGCTCTGGTAGAAGTCCTGCTTGCAGGCCCCGGGACGGGAGCTCAGGGAAACCCTTCTCCACGCGGAGCGTCTGGCGCAGGGTGTAAAGGGGGGGGCGGAAGGGGGGGTCCCGGTTTGCGTTCCATCTCTGGGATTCCAAGCGGCGGGGCACAGTCTGGCCTTGCTCTGCCAGTTCTTCCACGTTCTCTCGGGAGATTATCAGTCTCACATTTCTCTCTTCTTCCCCAAAGACACCCCGGGAGGCGGGGGCGAGGTTTTTGTTTTCTGGAGATTGTATGTCGAAGGGATTCCTAGGAGACAAGCAGAAAAAAGCCGCCTTTCCGGGACAGGGCGGGAGGACTCCGAGAGGGGGCGGCTGCCCGTCACGTGATCAGCACGAGCTGACTGCCCGGACCGCCCCGCCCCCGGAGTCTGCGCAGTAGCCCGCTTCCGGCGTTTTCGTTCCCGCGTTCTCTGCGAGCTGAGGAGGAGAGGTCCTGGCCACCCCGCGGTAGACTGGTTTTGGGTGGGGCTGCAGGGACGCCGGCCGGCGCAGTGGGAAGGCAGGCAGTGGGAGAGGATGAGCGCTGCCTCAGGGGTCTCCAGGGGCTGCATCACGGGGCGGGTGAGAAGCCAGGTAGGTGCAGCGGCCTGAGGGCCGAGGCGGCGGTGAGGAGAAGAGGAGCCTCGGGAAGCTAGGTGTGCGGGGCGCGGCGCGGCGCGCGCGGGGCGTAGTGCTCGGCCACCGCTGAGCCACCTCCGCCGTCGGCCCCGCACCCAGGGCCAGTAGCCGTCAGTGGCGTTTGTCACAGGGCAAGGCCCAAACTCTTGGCCCGGCCTGGATTCTTCTGAGGCCCTATGTGGTGACAGAAAATTTATTTTTTCCAGAAAGAGAATTACGTAGTTCTAAAAGTTTTAATTTGGCGTATGTGCACGCGCCGTTGCTTTGAGAGAGGAGAGAAGAGGTGGGAGAGGGAAAGGCAAGAGAAAAGGGGAAGGGAGAAGAGACCGGCCTTCACGTTGGCTTCTGTGAAACATCGCAGACTTCCCAGGGCACCGCCAGCGCTGCGGGGCTCGAGTAGTAGTTTCCGCGTGATGGCGCGTAAACTGATACACCGCAGGCACTGCCAGGAACGCAGGAGCGTTCTATGGAATTTACTAAACAAGCATTTGTTGTTGCTGTCTTGTATATATGAAGATTATATGTGACTGATCAAACAGATTAATTACTATTACCGACATCATACTTTCTCAAAAATCAAGCTAAGTAAATTGAGAACGTTGAGTGTAGACAGGGCTCCTCCTCTCTTGAGCTGTAGAGACTGTACCATTCTAGGTTTCAACATTTTTTTCTTTAAGCTTAATCTTTCAGATTTCTAGGGACATTATCTTCAGAATTTATAGAAAAGTAACTTAAAAGTAAAATCTGATGCTGTATGAAGGTAGAAGACGAGAGTGGAAATAACTTCAGGCTAGAAAAGATCTGGTCTTGTCCAGGTTTACTTGTTTGAATTTGGTCAACTATCTCTGCCCCTGTTTTCATGTCTGTAAAAAATGAGACAGACTTAGATAAACAGTGGTGTCTGTTTGAACATTAAGATATTGTGAAGGTAGAAGAATCTTAAGTGAATCCTGAAACAAGGCAGAAGTGCCAAAGACACTGTTTTGGCTGACTGTACATAGAGGGAGTAGATGAAAATCATGGGAAGGGTAGGTTAGCCCCAGGTGATGTAGGACTTTGGATGGAATTTGAACTTATTCTGGAGCAATGAATAGATGAGGTTTTTGAGATTAGGGAATGCAGTAACTACAGTTTTGAAAGGTTAAGGGAATATGGTAATCAGAGTTTTGAAAGACTACCCAAACAGCAGTTGGTAGGATGACTTAGAGAAGGGAGAAATTGTGTAGTTTAGGTAAGTGACAGCCTAAATGAGAGCGTAAATTAACAGTGGCAGTGAATGGAAAGAAAGGGAAAAGATTCAAGAAATCTGTGCAGCATGGAGTTTGTGCTTAAGTTTGGCATTGCTCAAAATTTTGCAGCTCTTGCCTCCAGAATATGGCAAGTCACCTTGTAAAACCTGATACTAGAAATTGCAAGAGACCAAGAGAGTTGGAGGTAATCTATATGCTCCTAGAACCTTAATATTTTATTTTATGTACTTCTCAAATTTCTCCCCTTTAAGAAAGTTCTGTAGATAAATGGAATGTAAGTTTTCATATTCCCAGAGCTGGAACTATATTGACTCCAGCTGCTTTTTTACGAAGTATATGGGAAAGCCTCCAAGAAACTATTGGGAGATTTCTCTGTGGTAATTTGTATCTGGAGACACAAGTGGGTTCATATCTTTATGATATCTAGGACTTAAATAATTATTTTGCTGTAATAAGTAGGATACCTAGGTACTGGAGTTGCTGATCTTTTTAAATAAGAACACTGTATTCTGCCTTTCTTCATTACTATCTCCGCCAATTGATGTTTGCATTTGGGACATTATTTGCTCCTTTAATCATTGTTATCTTGCAAAAATTTTCAAACTTTTGACTATTGTGCAAATGAAAGTTTTTCTGTGGAAAGAAGCATCTGGTTCAAGATACTTTTTTCATTGGGGGTTAATAACATATTCAAAGTCTAATCAAAAAAGTCAAAATAAAATTTAGTGTATTGAACAAGGTGCTTGTTAGGACTAAAAGTTTTGTTGGTAATAAAATTTCAAATGACTAGGACACAAGAGCATATAATTTCTAGCATGTTTGCTCTTTTCTGAAAGATGTTTGATTTGCTTTTTAAAAAATAGAATGTATATATCTTAAGGATCTTGTTGACTGTTTACCTATTTTCTTTTACTTTCTTGTATTAGCCTCAAATGCCAGATAGTCCACAACTGTCCTCTCTTGGAAAATCTGATTCCTCTTTCTCTGAAAGCTCTGGACTATTTTATAAAGATGAAACCCTGGAGAAAGATTTGAATGGTGATGTATAAAATGCTTATATTTCTATATATTTATTTTTATAATACAGAGGGTTTGTTATATTTCACAACTTAACTCAGTGATTTTTTTTTTTATAGATATGAGCAAGGAAATTAATTTAATGTTGTCTACATATGCAAAGATCTTAAGGTAAGTACTTAGAATATATTCTCTTGAGTCTTTATCTTTTAGAAGTTTTCTTCTGGAAATTCCATGATGGGAACTTATGTTTAGTGGCTGCAGAACCTATCCAATTACTATTATAATTTTGGAATTTTTTATTCTACCTCAATTTTTTATAATAAGTTATTTTGTTATTTTCAAAGATTAAGACAAACTTTTTCACTAAGCATTCTTTGTTTTGCTATGCCAGAATGAATACTAGGCTGGATATATTTTGGTCTCTAATTAGATGATAAAACATTAAAAATTTTATGATAAACCTCTTTGAGAAAACTACCATTTGGTGAAGTTAATGATAATAGAATGATATTAAAGATAAATATATTTGTGAAATATTTAAGTATTTTCCATATATTTGAAGGCTGCATTTTAATATTTTATTGACCTGAGGTTATCATGTTCTATAAGTTGTAAAACTACTGGACAGTCATTATATTTGAATAATGGTTGTGTGGCTGTTAAAATAATGTAGAGTCATGCACCGCATAATGATGTTTCAGTCAACAACAGATCACATGTATGACAGTACTTCCATAAGATTCTAATGGAGCAAAATTTTTTATAAGAAATGGAAGGATATGTGACTAAGGAGGAATTTTTTCTTTTCCTCCGATGGGACCAGTATCTGTGGAGTTTGACAGTAGATTCCCTCTCACTCACTGAACCTCAGATTTTGTTGTTGTTGTTAATTCTCACCTGAGGATATTTCTTACATTGATTTTTAGAGAGTGGGAAGGAGGCAGGAGGAGAGGAAGAGAGACAGAGAGGGGGAGAGAGAGAGGGAGAGAGAGAGAGAAACATTGATGTGATTGGTTGCCTCCCTCACGTGCTCTGATCCTGGCTGGGGATTGAACCTGCAACCCAGATACTGTACCCCTGACTGGGACCCTTCTGTGTGTGAGCTGATGCTCTAACCACAGAGCAACACTGGTCAGGGTTCAATTTAAAAAAATAGATCAATCAATCATTTTTTCTTTATGTATTGATAGAGAGAGAAGCATCGATTTGTTGTTCTACTTAGTTATGCGTTCATTGGTTGATTCTTGTATGTACCCTGACTGGGGATAGAATCTGCAGCCTTGGCGTATTGGTACAATGCTCTAACCAATTGAGCTACCTGGCCAGGGCCATGGAAATTCAATTTTGAGTGCACAGATTATATCCCAGTCAGGCACTGGCCTGATCCAGCACAGAGGAGCCTGTTCCTCCTGTGTTACATATTCAGAGGGTGCTATATAGTCCTCCCAGATGTAGGTTGATAGTCTTCTGAGTACTTTGCTATAAATTCTTTGTTGAGGACCTAAGATCTGGTAAAACGACACAGTTCTGTAGGAACTATCTTAAATATTAAGTGACACTGCCACTTTAGAAAAAGCTTTCTGTGGTGTTTGGAGGCAGCCTGTCCCTGTACTTTAGAAATATTTTCAGGTTGTAATCATCAATTCAATGCCAGAGAGAGTCCTTTATGCCAGAAAAAGTCAATGGAACCACAAATAAATTTCCAAAGTCAAAATATTGAGTCCTTAGTACTATACACTTTCCGTGTTAAATACTCCCTTATTTTAGAGAAGTGAGTATCACAAAGTTCCTTAATATGATCACTGCTCCAACATGCAATAGCCAAACCACATTGCCCTGGCAGTCCCCCATGTTCCTTATCTTTCCATCTTGATTTTTTTATTCCTGTTAATCCTCAGGCCACCTTTCATTCCCTCTTGACAGTCACTGTTGTTGTGATTTACACCTTCCTCAGCGAGTTTCTCCTTGGCATATTCAGTCAAGCCAGCCCACATTTCTGTTCATGGAGCAGCATTGACATCTTCCATGTTCTATTTGAGACCCTGTCAGAAGGATGTATGGGGGAGGACTTGTGGGACAGTGTTTATAAACTCTATAGTAGTGTAGTATACGGTAATGTCCTAGGCCCTCACATTCACTCACCACTCACTGACTCAACCAGAGCAACTGTCAGTTCTGCAAGCTCCATTAGTGGTAAGTGTCCTATAAATTTTAAGATCTTTTATACTGTATATTTAGTGTACCTTTTTTATGTTTAGGTAAATACTTTGTGTTATAATTGCCTATAGTATTCAGTATAGTAATTTGCTGTACAGGCATGTAGAATAGGAGCAATAGACTATACCATATAGCCTAGGTGTGTAGTAGGTTATATACCTAGGTTTGTGTAAGCATGCTCTGTGATGTTCCCACAGTGATCCAGTTGCCTGATGACACATTCCTCCTAACATATCCTCATCACTAAGTGAAGCATGACTGCATATAGTTTGATAATTAGAATCAAAGTGTATAAAATACACTTTCTGCTGTGTCAGGAGAATTTGAGTAGTAAAAAGTATTTATGAGACTAATTTAACTTTTACTGAGGAGTGTTTGTAAATTAGTAAAGCTTTCCGATGTACAAAGCTATCTAAATTAAATAGCTAACAAATATAGCATAATAAAGAACATCACTATGATAGTGTGTTTCAATGTTATAACTATTTAGTTTAACATAAGTCTTTCTTTTCCCTATTAGTGAGAGAGCAGCAGTTGATGCTTCTTACATTGATGAGATAGATGGACTCTTCAAAGAAGCCAATACTATTGAAAACTTTCTAATACAAAAAAGAGAGCTCCTGAGACAGAGGTTTACAGTGATTGCAAACACACTGCACAGATAAAATTGTGTACTTAAAATAAGCTGAGAATTTAAACCTATTATTGTTGTAAGGAAAGAATGACATTTATGCTCTGAAAGCTCTCTAGTTGTTAAAGATAATGTATACCTTAAACATAGAAGGTGAAACTCCTTGAATTTCTTTTCTAGATTTAATGGGGGCTTTAAACTGGATATTAATATGGAGTATGTAGCTTTTCTTTTGAGGGTCAAATATTTAGTGTAGTTTATAAAAGTGTAAATTATTAAAATTATATACGGATTCTTTTCTTTCTATTTTTAAAACCCCCTAGCCTTCAACTTCTAAAAGAGGACTCAAAGAGTTAATTTGATAATGTTTAACAGTATTGTACTTTTTTTTGGAATATTTTATTTAAATAGCAGTTAGCTTTGGAGATAGTTTTAAAATGCTTTTCATAGTCAGTATTATAAAAAATTAAAACCTCAAGGTAATTTGTCCAATTTCTCAATATGTAATAAACTGTGTACTCTTGCTATTTAATATAATCATTTGATTATTTTCACTATTATATATGATTAATAAAAGTTTTTTGTTTAAAGTTATTTTCTTGTGGTAACATGAAAACCAGAAATAACCAGAACCTTATATGAGTTGGCTCTTTTTATACAACCATATCAATAATGTGGTTATTGAATGATACTTAGAAGCTTTAGCAGTTGTGTCGTATGGGATAAAATTAATGGTACAGATGTAAAAAGATTGACTTAACAAGCAGCAGCTGGTCTCAGCATGCCCCATACCTCTCGATAAATGGCCCCAGGCCTGGCACTAGTAGCAGCCTCCATTGGTTCATAGCTTGGCTGCTTCTGGACACCTCCAAGCCCAGCACAAGTGGCAACCATCTATGGTTTACTGTGTAGCTCATGCTGGGTGGCCCTGGGCAAGGCATAGGCAGAGGCTGACTTTGCACCTCCAGGGAGGCCCCAGAGACAGTGCACCTGATGGTCAGACCACCACTTTTCGATTATACCCTAGTACATTCATGAATGACACATTCAAGGGGTGCACTCAGTGAACACCAAACTTCACTGAAGTAAATCCTGCTCCATAGGGATGTCTCGAGCACAGCAGCTCTTTGGCTGTAGCTGTAGCTGGTCCTTATAGCTGATTGGCCTGAGGGTCAATTCCTCCCAGTGATGCCAATAGCAACCAAGGCTCAACTACAACAAGGCAGTGCACACAGCCCACATGGGAGCACCTAGAAGGCCCAGCTCAGGTGATGGGAGGCTGAGCCACAGCCCTACAGGACACCTGCTACACAAAGCCACTACAAATTCCGGGAGATGTAGCAGCTCCACCTAATACATAGAAACAAACACCAGGAAGCAGCCAAAATGCAGAGGCAAAGAAATATGTCACAAAGGAAAGAACAGAAGAACTAAATGAAATGGAGCTGAGCAAGCTACTAGATACAGAGTTCAAAATAATGGTTATAAGGATGCGCAAGAATCTTAGTAAGACTAGTAAGGAAACTAGTGAGATCATCGATGACATAATAAGTACCAATCAGAAATGAAGGCTACATGAACTGAAATGAAGAATAATTTACAGGGAATCAACAGTAGAGCAGAGAATTAAATCAGCAATTTGGAATATGAGGAAGGAAAAAACACCCAACCAGAAGAGCAAAAAGAAAAAAGAATCCAGGAATATGAAGATAGTGTAAGGAGTCTTTGGGACATATTTAAGCAGCCCAACATTTGCATTATGGGGGTGCCAGAAGGGGAAGAAAGAGAGCAAGAAGTTGAAAACCTATTTGAAAAATTAACGTCAGAAAACTTCCCCTACCTGGGGAAAGAAAGAGATTTACAAGTCCAGGAAGCACAGAGTGTCCCAAACATGAGGAACCCAAAGAGGCCCACAGCAAGACACATCATAATTAAAATGCCAAAGTTTAAAGACAGAGAATCTTAAAAGCAGCAAGAGAAAAGCAGTTACCTACAAGGGAGCACCCATATGACTGTCAGCTGATTTCTCAACAGAAACCTTGCAGGCCAGAAAGGAGTGGGAAAAAGTATTCAAAGTGATGAAAAGCGAGAACCTATAGCCAAGATTACTCTACCCAGCAAAAGCTATCATTTAGAACTGAAAGTCAGATAAAGAGCTTTACAGATAAGAAAAAGCTAAAGGAGTTCACCACCACCAGACCAGCACTACAGGAAATGTTGAAGGGTCTTCTTTAAGAAGAAGCTAATGAACAAAAGTCTGACAAAATAGACCTAGAGATATTGAAGCCTGCAACAGATGGTCAGTCATATCTCAGAGGGAAGGGGGAAGGAATGTGGGGGGTGAGAAGAGATTAACCAAAGAAGTTATATGCATATATGCATAACCCATGGACACAGACAGTAATGGGGTGAAGGCCTGAGGAGGGGGTAGGAGCGAGGTGAAAGGGGGTCAATGGGGGGAAAATGGGACATCTGTAATACTTTTAACAATAAAAATAAATTTCAAAAAGTCATTGTACCCATTTTTAAATCATATAGATAATTCATTCTTTTGTATGTATATTTTGCTGATAAAAGCAATAAAAAATTTGGACATATTTATAAACAATACCATAAGGAATTTGGTATTCTTTAGGTGGGTAGCATGCTTACCTTGCTGCCTTTTGAATGTTAAAATAAAATCTCATTTCATGAAATGACTGTTTCAAGGTATATACCTACCATATAACATAAATACTTACACAAGGAAGGATTAAAAACAATAAGACAGCCCAGCTGGTGTGGCTCAGCGCCTAAGCATCTACCTAGGATCCAGGAGATCACCATCAGATTCCCGGTCAGGGCACATGCCCGGGGTTCCAGGCTCGACCCCCAGTAGGGGGCGTGCAGGAAGCAGCCGATCAATGACTCTCATCATTGATGTTTCTATCTCTCTCTCCCTTCCTCTCTCTGAAATCAATAGAGATATAGTTAAAAAAAATACAGTAAGATAACATTTACTAAAAATATTGGTTATTAAATGGAAAAATTATTAGGTTTGTAGAGGATGGTATGCTAGTAGAAGTCAATGAAGTAACTATTAGAAACGGGGTTTTTGAATATTAAATGCAAGCAGAAGACTGCCTTTGACTTGATATGCCTTGTCACCTGGATTGTGAGTTACTCTGTCACCTGATAGAGTTCTTGAATATTCCAAATGCAAGGGTGACTCTTGGACCATCACCATTAGAAGTGTCCTTGAGTTATTGTTTTCTTAGCACTTATTATTAATGAGAAAGCCAAGGCTAACACTTGCAGAGTGGATTTCATAATAGACTTGTTATATTTTGCTGGTGTCACCTCTGTCTAGCATCTGATTCTTCCCTGCGTAGGGTCAGAGGATTGATTCGATCTCTGTTTGGCATGATAAAGACCGTGGAACTAGGTTTTTGAAACTGTATTTACTGGTCAGAACATTTACCTCCTAAGGCAAAATTTCCTTATTGTCTAATTAAGACTTATTTTTATCAAATTTTGATATCTTTGGTACCCATCCAAATAAACAAGAATAATTATTTCACCACTGCAGATATGCTATTACAGGAATACCACTGCCCTTTAAATTTACACTTCTAATATCACTCATTTCAATAAAATTTCACAAGTTTATATTTTAAACATTACGAATCAAAATATATATTGAATATCTTTGTACATCATATGCTAAGCACTGTAGGAAATACAGAATAGTTTAAGATACTCTTTATTCTCCCTCCTTTAACCACTCCTTTCTTGAAATACACTTACATACCTTTGCTAGGAAAACTTGATATGTAAGTGTTAAAAATACCTGTGTTGGTGCTAGTAACTGCTAGTGAAAGTAGGGCTTTGGCAAGTAGGTCAGAGGTAGATTTTGACATGGGTTTTTGAAAAGGAAAGAGGGAGGCTATTTCAGGCAGGGAAAAGTTTGTTCAAAGGCTCAGAAGAACAAAAACATGGTATATTTATAGTCATTTTGCTGGACTGAGAATTCAAGAGGGAAATAATGTATTATCTAAAATAGGGATTGAATGTCCTTTTTTGATATTCTCAATTTGTAGCACAGCATTTGATACATTGGTGCTCAAAAGTGTTTGTTAAATTAATGAGATTATATATGGTTATAAGTTTTTAAAGGGCATACTTTCACAGGGCCTTATTCAAACTAGGATGTGAGAAAATGTTTTGTAAATTAAATGACTAAAAAAGAAAACAGAATGAAACGCTAGAAACAGAGAGACAGGATTAAAGGTAGGTTGTGGCCACATTGGAGAGCCCTTTGTTGACATTACATTTGGACTTAATTCTGTAAGGAAAGAATCTTTCAGAGGAAGGAGTGGCTTAATGAATTCATTCATGGATCAACTGACTTGATTGTAGTGCAAGGATAGACTTGGAAGAGAGTTTAGGGAGGGAGACTCCTATTTCAAACAGTTACTTATTATAGCTAGGTTGCTGGGATACTTGTCCTGGAAATAAGAGAGAGAGGGCCCATGTTTTAAAGCCTTGCCTCCTTCCCCTTTCCCTCTATTCTGTTGGCCCAGGAAATGTGTTCCCTGGCACGGCTGCTGAGTTGTGAGAATGTGGAAACCACAGGATCTGCTGGTACTTAAGTTCAATGCAAAAATTTCAACTCTGCATTTCGTCAGCAATCTTCCACTGCGGTGGGTTTCGGATCTGTGATAGTACAACGGATCCCAGGTAGGAGATTTACCCTCTTCTTCCTGCCAGCTGGAACTTAGAATTCTGTGCCTTTTCTGAAGAAATCTGGGAGCTTCTCAAGTTTTCCACTCTTTTTGGAGCAGATACAGGCAGCAAGTGCAGAGCTGGGAGTTGAAGACAGAGTCAGGATTTGTTTACTTGTTCTGGAAACAGCCTTTCCAGAGGCTGTTTTATACAATATATAGGGGCAGGATTCAGGGTTTTGGGTTCTCTTGGATCTGCAATCGGAAGAATATTCATTATTTAAACCTTTCTTAATTGAAAATCACTGCTATACCTTCTAATGTAAATACTTGGTTCTATTTATATTCTGGGGGGCTTCCTCAAAACCTGTTTATTGCTTTGTAGCTTTCTATTATAGTTACTATTGTCACATGATTTTATTTCTTGAAGTTGGCTGATATGGAGCTATGAGTAATCATACTGATATAGACTACACACTTTAAAATTATTTAATTCACTAATTCAGTGCAAGGCAGTGTGTTAGGTGCTGGGGTGAAGGCAAAACCAAGATGCTGTGCTCAAGGAGCACTCGTAATAGAGGCTATAAAATATATTCATCCATATTACACAGGACACAATGTGGTGAGTGCCATGAGAGCCAAAATGGGTGCAGTGTGTGTTCAGACAAAGGAGAATCAGTTCTTGCTACAGGAACTAGGCTGAGAAGAGAATGGGGAGTGGTCCAGGCTGGCCTGGGTGGAAGGCATCAGTGAGAGGCACAACTGGACGGGTGGGTTGGTGTGAGGCTATACAATGCCTTCATCAGTGCCTGGTCAAGCAGTTTAGACTTTATTTGGTAGACAATGAGTACTTTGTAAAGGTTTTCTGGAGGAATATGTGATATAATCAAATCTGTTCTTAGGAAGATTACTTTAGTAGCAGTGTTTCCCAGCCTTTCCCACAGTAAATTGGATGGAATCTGGAGCCCCAGTGAACTGCTTAGAGCAGGAGGCCTTGTCCTGGGGCCTCCGGCCATCGAAGGGGATCAAGAGGCCCATCAATTAGGAAGCTCTGGTTTAGGAGATAGCTTCCTAATCTAATTTCTCCTTCTAAATAAGAGACTGATAATATCCACCTAACAGATTGTAAAGGCCTAAAGGACAGTAGAAAAGAAGTGACTGATAGGCAAGAAAAGTCAAAGCATCAGTGCTGATGAGGACAGGTTCAAGCCAGAAGAAAAATTTGTAGGGTTGCCCAGGATGGGTGGACTGGTAAAAATTTTTGCAAAGAATTTGCTCCAGACACCCTTGCAAACTTCTGAGCCCTAGTAATTTTTACTGGCTACTCTATGTCATCCCCTTAGCATCTTCTTTCTAGCCCTCTGTGGATACAGTCCCAGAATTTACCACTTAGTGATGCAAGGAAGAATTCAAGGCCCACAGAGATTTTGAAGCTGGGTGATTTAGAAGGTGGGAAAATTGATCTGGAAGGGGGAAAATTAGGAATTCTCTTTTGACATGTTGAGTCACCTGCAAAAAGTAAGTGGTGAAATTAAGAGTCTAGATGTGATTACCAAGGAAGAGTGCTGAGATTAAAGAGTAAAGGTCCAAGGTCAGACCTTAGGAACACATTCATGAGGCGATAAGGGGAAAAGGAGCCAATAGAGGGAATTAACATTTGAAAATTAGTACTGTCATTATATTTGCTTATGATGATAGACATGAGTGGAACGTATTATTTTCCTTTTATCACTATTATCCTCATTTAATTATTTAAAATCCTGAGGTTCAGGGTGATTAGTAACTTGCCCAAAGTGTCAGCTAGTAAGTAGTGAAACTGCCATAAAGCAAACAAGAGGGAGCAGGAGCTTTTGAAAAGTGCAGTGTCTGGGAAGCCAGCAACAGAAAGGGGTTCAAAGAGGTGCTGACAACAATATCAGGTACTTCGGAAAGTTTGAAGAGTATATAATAAACTGCCAACAGCATGCAGTGGCGTACAGAACATACAGACATTTAATGTCTTCTAAAATGTAAAATGTTTTAAATTCGTGAATCTCTATTCAGACAGACAAATGCCCTACCAGGTATTCAACTTAATTCTACTTAAATAGGAGAAGTAAAATACCTGATCTCAGGGAGTTTATTTTAGTCTAAGATAAGAACAAGATAAATATACGTAATATTAATAAAAGTAGTAAGATAAATACCCGAGGGTTTCCTCCAAGTTTTCAAAGCATTCTCTTTATACCTCTAATATTGTGGTTCTCAAATTTTAGTATGCCTAAGAACACCTGCTTACACTCCCCCAGAGATTCTGATTTATTAGGCCCAGAGTGGAGTCCTTGAATCTGCATTTTAGCAGTAGCACCAGGTATTTCTGTTTCAAATAGTCCTCAGGCTATACTTTGAGAAATAATGCTCAAATAAAACAACGATTACAGTGTAAATGACCTCTTTGTATGTCTGTTTACTAGGTGGTGAGTTCCTTTACATCAGGATTATAATACTTTTTATCCCTCAGCAGTGCCCAGCACTTTGTTGGATAAGTAAATAATTCAGAGAAAGAAGATATTCCACCTTGTTGAACTGATCATTAAAAGCTACATGAATAGCCCTGGCTGGGTGGCTCAGCTGGTTGGAGCGTTGTCCTGTACACCAAAAGGTTGTGAGTTTGTTTCCCAGTCAGGGCACATACCTGGGTTGTGGGTTCCATCCCTGGTCGGGGTGTGTACTGGAGGTGACTGATGTTTCCCTCGCACATTGATGTTTCTCTCTCTCTTTCCCTTCCTCTTGCTCTAAAAATCAATAAAACATATCCTTGGGTGAGGCTTAAAAAAAAAAGCTACATGAATAATAGCTAACATTTTTTGAATATTTATAATTTCTAAAATTTGACATAACCTAATTCACTTATTATTTATGGCCTTAGGAGCAATAAGAATTATTATTCTCCTCACCTTAGAAGCAGAGGGTAACTGTCTTGCTCGAGGCTATTTATTTTGAAAATGGTGGGCCAAGATTTGAACCCAAGCACTCTGGAGCCAGGCAGAAACTTAAGTATAATACTATGTTGCCTCTTAAAGAAAGTGGTATTTGAGATAGACTTTGAGCAATAGATAAAATTTCCTTAGGGACTGACTATTGGGAGGGGCATTCAGGGTAAAAGCAAATTTTATTTGGGAAATCAAGAACTAGTTGGGTTTGACTGAATTGTTATGTATAGCAAAGTAGAAGGTTTCATGTGCTATAAACTAAATTTTTGAAAGACTTGAAAGAAATGGGATAATATATATAATACTGTAAAAGAGTTTGCTAAAAGAATGCAAATCTCACTTCAGAGGAGCAGTGTCCCTGTGGGTTAATTGTCCTAGTTTAGACTTTTATGTCATTGTTAAAGTTTTATGAAATAAAATAAAGGACTGTATTTTGTAGTACTTAGTTAGTTATATATTTGACCACCCTTCTTTGTGAGGCAACACTGCCTTGTGAACACTAAGTAAGTATGAAATACAGTAAAACCTCGATATAACAGACCACTTCAGGCAAGGGGATGTCCGTTAAAGCCAAAAGTCGGTTATATAATAAAGTAGGTTTTTGAATGCGTATGTTAAAAAATTGACAAATTGGTTTACCTGTTTTTACTTATGTAGACATGTTTGCATAATTAAAATTAAGTATGGCCCTGGCCATTTTGGCTCAGTGGTTAGAACGTCGGCCTGTGGACTGAAAGGTCGCAGGTTCGCATGTGGCCAAGGGCATGTACTTCAGTTGCAGGCTTGATCCCTGCCCTGGTTGGGGCTCGTGTGGGAGGCAACCAATTGACGTGTGTCTCTCACATTGTTGTTTCTCTCTCTCTCTCTCTCTCTCTCTCCCTTCCACGCTTTCTGAAAAAGCAATGGAAAAAATATCCTCAAGTGAGGATTAAAAAAAATGTATGAAAAGTTTAATTTCACAGAAAAGTTTTCTGTATGTATTACTGTTATTTTATTATTTTATTTTAATCTTTATTGATTTCAGAGAGAGAGGAAGGGAGAGAGAGAGAGAGAGAGTTGAAACATCAATGATGAGAGAGTTGTTGATCGGCTGCCTCCTGCATGCCCCCAACTGGGGATTGAGCCTGCAGCCCAGGCCTGTGCCCTGATCGAGAATGGAACCGCGATCTCCTGGATCCTAGGTCAATGCTCAACCGCTGAGCCACGCCCGGCCGGGCTGTATTACTGTAATTTTAAATTTATACTGAGTAGGTCTAGTAAATGTGTGCATTCACCAGGCACCGTGAGTAAACGAATGCTCATGGCTGGGGCTTGGCTGAGTGCAGGTGGGACCATCAGCAGGGTGTGTTAAAACTGCTGCAGAAAGTCACGCCACATGGCAACAGAACCAATTACTGGGATCACCATATGGTGTGATCATGTGCTAGTCATTCATGGAACATTGTTTAGGAACATGACTCTTGCATTCAAATATGTAGACTATAATCATAGATATGTAATATTTATTTATGTTGGCAAAATTACTATAGTGTTTTTTTTCAACATAGGGCATATTTGCTGAAATTTGTTAAAAATAACAGTGAATGAATAACAAAAAAATAACCTGTTAATTTAATTATTAGCAAATCTTGGTTAAAAGCATTTTAAAATTAATAAGGTGTTAATTTTCACATATGACATACAGACCAGAAATTTTGTCCATTAAATCTGAAGTCGTTTAAATCGAGGTCTGCAAAACCGAGGGTTTACTGTGATAGGAACAATTTTCAGCTCTTTGTTATATGATGATTTTTTCTTGTGGCTTTTGAACTTCAGGAAATTTTAGACCAGGCATCACTGCATAGTTTAATTTATGACACCTTTCTCCTAGAAAATGCCATGTACATTCACGTGTACATTAAAATGGAAGAAATTAAATTGTAGATCTTACTAAATGTTCCAGAAATCCCTATGAAATTTTTGGGATCACCTTCTGGTGTATATAAAATACTGAGGTCAATGTAATTATGATAATATTGAATGGTGGCCATTTTTTATCATAACAATGAGGTTGCTATTAGCACATCTCAGGTTAGATTCCATCTTGAGCACTGTTCAAGTATGAGAAATGATAATAATAATAGTTAAAGTCCTGCATTAATTCTCAAGCAGATTTGTACTGCAAGAATACAAGAAGATTGTCATTGTCAAAAAATGGAGACTCAAAGAATTGATCTGAGAGTGAGGAAGGAGAGAGAGGAACTTGGGGACTGTATTTGGTGTTAGGTTCATGTTTACCTGCCCAGGCGTGTTTATGTAATATTGGTGAAAATTTTTGTGCTTTTGATTTCCTTTCAGTTATGAAGAAGTACACGGAAAGTGGTCATGAGACAAAAGCGATCTTTGGTAAGCAGGAGAGCCTTCCCTGTATCGCACCGCTGGTAACCACAGTGGAGGAGACGCCACAGACCATCTCTGCTGAAGTACAAGGACATTTTCCCAAGTGGCTCAGTGGCTCGCTACTTCGAATTGGACCTGGGAAGTTTGAGTTTGGGAAGGACAAGTAAGCCTTGATTTTTGGAAGAATTTGGATGTCTTAGCATGAACTTGGTCTATGGCATATGTACTAATATCTGCTTCCTTTCTGAGGCTAACATTGCCACGCAGTCTCTTTAGTTCCAGATGAGGAAGCTAGTCTATGGGGAGAAAATGGAAAGTTAATTTTGTTTAAAAAGTTGACATTTCTGCTCTGTAGATATTATGAGTTTGAAGTTCTCTGAAGGTTTATGCCAAAGGGGAAGTGTCAGGAACTGTGTGTGCCAAGCTCTATTTCAACACAAGTTCCTGAAGGAAGGGACAGTGTCTTCACTTCATACCACTCCCTCACCCAGCACCTCCCAGACACAATGGCTCTTTCAGTTCCTCAAACTGGGCATGTTTATTTTTACTCAGGATCTTGGCTTTGGCTCTGTCATCTCTCTTCCCAAGTCTGATTCTCATCATTCAGATACCAGCTCAAATTTCATCATTTGAGCCCTCCTTGATTTCCCAATCTAAAGATGCTATTATTTATTATATTATGTATAATGCAATAGGTATATTAATTCGTTACATAGCACTATCAATGTTTTTTATTTGTTTGTTTATTAGCTGTGTTTCTCCACTAGAAAGTAAGTTCCATGAGGGCAGAGGCTTCTTGTTCACCTCATATCCCCAGTATTTAGGACAGTGCCCTGTACTTAAATAGCAATATATATATGTAAATAAATGGAAAAACCCCAATAACTTGTTTTTAAAAATATGTTTTTACTGATTTCAGAGAGAGGAAGGGAGAGGGAGAGAGAGATAGAAACATCAATGATGAGAGAGTCATTGATTGGCTGCCTCCTGCACGCTTCACACTGGGGATCGGGCCTGCAACCCGGGCATGTGCCCTGACTGGGAATCAAACGGTGACCTCCTGATTCATAGGTTGATGCTCAACCACTGAGCCATGCTGGCCAGGCCCAATAGCTCTTTAGTGTATCATTTCTGTGTGTGTCTACTAGGCACATAAAGTGATGTGAAGAAACCCCTATAGTCAGGAGAAAATCTGCTTTGCTTTAAACATTTTTAAATATTAGAATTTTTTTTTCATTTAAAAGTTTTCACCTATATGAAACATTTATAAATAGAGAAGAGAGTGGGGCAATGTATGTACCACATCCTCTGTTAACACTTTGGTGTTTTTGCTGCTAGTCTTCTCATTTCTATAGGTTTGTTTTAAATAATTACAGTCATATGATATGTAGAATTTTTTTTATTGTGGTATAATTGACATGTAACATTATTAGTTTCAGGTGTATAGCATAATGATTTAATATTTCTTTATATTGTGAAATGGCCACCACGATGAGTCTAGTTAACATCCATCATATACATAGTTACAAAAGTTTTCTTTTCTTGTGATGAGGCTATAATCTCTTAGCAACTTTCAAATATGCAACACGATATTATTAACCACAGTCCCCATGCTATATACTGCATCCCTGCGACTTAATTATTTTATAACTGGAAGTTTGTACTTTTTGACCACCTTCACCCATTTTGTGCCCCACACTTCTTCCAAGCACCAGTAAGTTCTCTGTATCTGTGAATGTGGCTTTTTTGTTGTTTGTTTGTTTTAGATTCTACATATAAGTGAGATCCATATGGTACTTGTCTTTCTCTATTTTTCTCTATCTGACTTATCTCACTCAGCATAATGACTTCAGGGTCCATCCACGTTATCACAAATGGCAAGAATTCCTTCTTTTTATAGCTGAATACAATTCCATTGCATATCTATATATCTGTATCATATAGACATATATGTATGTGTCTATCTGTCTATCTATCATCTATCTATCTATCTATCTATCTATCTATCTATCTATCTATCTATCTATCTATCTATGTATCTATCAGATTTTCTTTATCCATTTATCTATTGATGGACACTTAGGTTGCTTTCATCTCTTGGCTATTGTTAATAATGCTGCAGTGAACCCTGGGGTGCAGATACCTTCTTGAGCTAGTGTTTTTGTTTTCTTCAGATAAATACCCACAAGTGGGATTGCTTGGTCACATGGTAGTTCTACTTTTAATTTTTTGATGAACCTCCATACTTTTTTCCATATTGGATATGCCAATTTATGTTCCCACCAACAGTGCACAAGTGTCCCTTTCTCCACATTTTTGCCAAACTTGTTATTTCTTGTCTTTTTGATAATACTTGGTTTAATAAGTGTGAGGTGACATCTCATTGTGGTTTTGATTTGCATCTCCCTGATGATTAATGATGCTGAGCGTCTTTTCATTGTACTTGTTGGTTATCTGTATGCCTTCTTTGGGAACAAGTCTATTCAGGCCTTCTGCCCAATTGTGAGTCCATATATATATATATATATATATATATATATATGATATCCCCTAGTTAAAAAAACTTCACACTATCATCAGCCTTTTTATCCATGTTGCTATGAAATCTGAATGACAATTATTTTTAATGGCTGGATGATATTCCAAGAACCATGAACTTTTAAAAAAATGTGGTAAGATACACAGAATATAAAATTTACCATCTTAACTATATTTTTATTTATTATTATTATTTTATTGATCTTAGAGAGAAGAAGTGAGGAAGAAGGGGGAGAGAGAGAGAGAAACATCAATCCATTGCCTCCCACATGTGCCCTGACCAGGTATCAAACCTGCCACCTTTTGGTGTATGGGATGACACTAACTAACTGAACCACACCATCTTCACTATTTTTAAGTGTACAGTTCAGTAGCATTAAGTACATTCACATTGATGCTTTCGTCATCACAGTCTATACACTTTTCATCTTGTAAAACTGAAACGTTGTACCCATTAAACGGTAATTTCCTTTCCCCACCCAGGCCCCTGGTAACCATGCATTCTACTTTCTTTTAGCTGAATCTTTCCTGTGGGCTTGGTGAGCATCTGATTATGGTCTAATTGTGCTTTCCTAGCTGTTGTTGGAAACAGGTCAATAATTAGGGGCATATTCAAGATATATTTCTTAATATCGCAGATATTTTAATTTGCTGAACCTGTCGCATCTTGTCTTCACTGAATAATAGACTTATTATGATAGTGCTAAAAGGCAAGAAAATGCAGTGGTCCCTCACCCCAACAGCTGCTGCAAGAAGCTCGTGAGAAGTTCCTTTAGGTGCCCAGGTGGAGACTGGGGGGTGGGGCTCGGGGCAGGGAGGTGGTTTGCGGGTAGGAAAAAAAGGTGAGCGAGCTGGCCCGAGGTTCTGCATCCTGCCCCTAACCAGAGAAGCTGTGATTTCCCTGTTCTACATCTCTTGGTGTCATACAAGGTATAATTTGAAAAAGATTGTGAGGGAAAAGGAAGAGGCGGAGGAGGGGGAGAAAAATAAAACTATTTCAGTCCCCACAGAGTAACAGCCTCTTGCAGAAACACATGGTGCTTCATCTGCTACAGAAGTGGCTCTAGAAAAATTTAAAATCAGGGCCTAGGCTTTCATTACAGGCCGCTTTTAAGATGACATCTTTGTGGAGGACGTGGGTGGTGTGGCTTGTCCTCATGAGTGTCTACTTTGTCGTTCAAATCAATTTTTTCAGTCAGCAGCAGGCATTTATAGCAAGAGTAGGGCCTTCGCCCACCTCTTGGATACCAAGTACAGATATCTTCAGGTCAGAGGGGAAATGCACTGAGACCTAGTTTAGTGGCTGGCTCCCAAGATTAAACATAAAAGGAGGGGCAGAGACCTAAAGTCATTGTAACCCTTACCTTGCGGATAAGAATAGCCCCACTCAGCTGTGAATCTTTGGTCCCTCTGTCAGATGCCATTCCGTAGGTCTCTGTCAGCATGCAGACATGGTAGTGACATGACAAAGGACATTCTTCAATTAACATTTTTTGTCAATGATTTCATTGAAGGCATGCTTATGAGTCTTTAAGTTATATGAATCTGGGCACAATAGTAAGTATCCTCAGCATTTCAATGTCTCCCACTTTCCTGGAATGATTTCAGGATCCGTGATGAAGACAGTCAAGCCTCCGAGTTCCTTGGCCATCCCCACGAAATGATTGTCCCCCTCTGTGCTGCTACAACAATGCCTCATAGTGAGGCTATATCCTGGATCTTACTGCACAGAATTGCCCTGCCCTTGAAATCCTGAACTCTGAAACTCTGCTCTCTGCTTAACATCGCAGTCTCCACACTCCTCCATTCCCATTAAGCTTATGTCCAGTCCCATCAGGTTCTCTCCTACTCTTCTCTGTCCTGTTCATCAGCTCCCCTTTCGTTTCTTCTCCCCGTGCAGATCCCGCAGTCGGTCACTTCCATTACACAACCCCCTGCCCTCACTTGCCCGCCTCCAAATCTCCCCAGGTACCTACTGTGTGTAGTCCCCACCCTGCCTCCTCCTGATCAGAGGAGGAAGGGGCCCACTTCCCCTCCTCTGGAGCCTGCTGGTCAATCACTTGCCTCCCCTTGTGTCTGTTCTCCTTCACTGACCCCATCTCAGCCAGCAAGTGTCCTCTCGTCCTACAACACCCTCATTCTCTGTTCCACCTTCCTCTCCAGCTCCCCTGTCCCTCCCCTCACTACTTCTGGTTTCATACTCTCCGAGGTCTTCTCGGTTCACTGCCATCTGACTTTTAACCCCACCACTCGACAGCATCTGTTCCTGAAGGTCTCCAAGGCCTGTGCATTATTCAGTGAAATGGGCTCCTGAGCCCTCAGGCAGGCTGTTGTATAGCATTTGTCCTTATTGACCACCTGTCTTAAAATTCTCTCACCCCTGATTCCCATATTTCCTCTACCCTTCTGGTTGCGTGTTCTAGAATAATTTTTGTTGTTGCTCGTTTCACGTCACTTGCTCCTTTAATGCTGATGGTTGACATATCCCATCCTCTGCCCTGAGTGGTCCCTTCTCTTCTCTCATTGTATGCTTTCTTCGGTATCGTAGAAATAATGTATTCTTTGGACTATGATGGAGTGGGTTCAAATCCATTTTCATCACTTCTCAGTGCTATGATCTTGAGCAAGTTTCCCATATGGAAAATGGGGCCAATAATATCAATTCTAATGGCTGGGTATGAAGAGTAAAGGAGACAGGCATATAAAGTGCCTCTTTCAATGGCTGACAAAAATTGCTACTTAGTGCATTTTTAATCTCTTCTTTCCCTTCAGTGCCCTCTCCCCACTCCCTTTCCTGCCAGGTAACTTCTTGCAGTTCACTTGTAAGCAAGCCCAGGATTTGGAGTTGGCATTGAGTTCAGATTCTTGTTCTGACACTTATGAGTCCTGTGACCCTGGGTTTGTTGTTGCTCTGACCTTGGTTTCCATGTGTGTGAAATGGGGACGATAGTTTCCTGCAGGATTAGTGTGTGTGTGTGTGTGTGTCTGTGTGAGAGAGAGAGAGAGAGAGAGAGATAAAAATACATATGAAAAGATGTGGTAAAGTGCTTGGCACAGTACCGGCGTGTAGTTAGTGCTCAGTGGATGGTAGTTATTATCTCTCATTTGCACCTATGGCTGTACCTGTCACACACAGATGCTCTCACACATGTACGGCCCGCCCGCTCCCATCTCTTGTGCTCTAGGCCTGTATTTTGCCAACTGGCTGTAGAACATCTCTCCCCTGATGCTTTTATGTTTTACAAAGAGCTCAGACTCTTTTCAAAACTGAACTATTTCTTTTCCCCAATACTTGCTCTTCGGCCACGCATTCTCCATCTCAGTTAAAGCATCATCATCAGCCAGTCATTCAGGCATGACTTTTTGGACCCTCTCTTTTTGTCACTGCCCACATCCTATCAGTCACCTCTGACTTGTTTCTGGAATTTGTGCTTTTCTAACTATATTGCTTCAGTTTAGGCTCTCATCTGCTCTGTCTGGGGTTGTTGCCTTGTCCCCTCATGGGTTTCTCCAAATCTGGATGTCCCTCTTTCTATCCCATGTGCTACTCTGTGTCCAGAGTGACTTTTCTAAGGTGCGGGTCTCACTCACCTGCTTACAGACTCCAGGCTTTCCTGCTGAGGGTCTTTAAGCCCTAAGTCTAAGTGCTGGTAGGCCTTGTGCTGACCTATTCCTCCATCATCATTGCCTGCCACTGATGGCTCTGCCCACATACTAATTTATTAACTGGCGATTCCTCCAGGGCACCATAGGCCTCCTTCATAGCTCTTTTTTTTATCACCTGTCTCTAGGATGCCCTTCTCCTCACCACCTGGCAAACATCCTTAGCGAACCAGCCAAATGTTTCCTTCCCTCTTGACCCTTCCTAATGCCCGCATCCCTCCATCCTGTTGCTCCTTCTGTGCATGAATAGCATTTGTAACATTTCTCCTTTGCTGCAGCGATCACTTGTGGCATAGTTATTTATGTGCCTGTAAGCACTGGGTTCGGCACAGTTCCTGGCAGTGTTGGTTGATTTGAATAAATGAATTGCATGAAATGACAAGGTCTGCAAGGACCTTGGGAGATGGAATCTAAGAAGTTAAAAATTATTAAAAGTAGATGCGGGTGAAGAAAACACATTTTACAAGCACAAGGATGAAAGATGTGGCTTAACAGCAGAATGTATTAAAATTACTTAGGGATTTTTGTTGACAGCTCAATATGGGTCAAAAATATGAGATGGTAACAAAGAAAACTAGGAAGGAAAGAAAAGAATATGCAATATTTTTAAATTTTTATTTTTTTAATCTTCATCTAAGGATATTTTTTCCATTGATTTTTTGGAGAGAATAGAAGGAGAGGGGGAGAGAGAAAAAATCAATGTGAGAGAGACACATCAATTGGTTGCCTCCTGCATAAGCCCCAATCTAGGCCAGGGATGAACCTGCAACCCAGGTACATGCCCTTGACCAGGAATTGAACCCACGGCCCTTCGGTGTGTGGGCTGACGCTCTAACCACTGAGAAACACTGGCAGGGCAAGAATATGAAATGTCTTAATTGAGGAAGCTGAGTGTCTGGTTTTATACCCAGAGTATTTTGTGTTTGGTTCTACATATCATGGTTTTAGAGGGATTTAGACCAGAATAGGAATAATTATTGAAACTAGTTTGTTCTTAATGTTTTTGAAAAATATTTTTAAAATTAGAAAAAGTATCTAACATGATAAAGAAGAAGAGGAGGAAGCACAAAAATAAGAAATGACAGTGGGGAAGCAGACATTGAAACAGAAAAAATTGCAAGAGACTTTTCAGGTTTCTATGCAAATACAGATGATAACCTTGACGAAATAGCTAATTTCCTGGGGGAATACAGATTACCAAAACTGATAGAGAAAGTTTAAACAGATTGATTTTTGTAGAGGAAAAGAGAAACTCATTAAGGAACTATTTCTCAAAAGTACCAGGCCCCAGTTATTTCAAGGGGAAATTCTCCCAAACCTTCAAATATTAGGTAGTCTTAATGCTCCAGACATTACTTCAGAGAATTGAAAATGAAAGGAAACTCCCCATTTCTTTTTTTGAAGCAAAGATAATATTGATATCTATATATGAGAAAGATGGTGCAAAAAAACCCAGTGTTATTTATTCATATTGTTCATGAATATCTTGAAAAAGTACAAAATACATAGTACTAATAAATATTTTATTAACAAACAGAATCTAATACTACATTACAAATATAATTCACTATGACTAGGTAGGATTATTTCCAAGAATGCAAGGTAGGTTCATCATTTGGAAATCCATTAATATCATATGCCATATTAATAGGTCTCAGGAAAACTAATTATAGGATAAGCTCCATAAATGTTGACAAACTTTTGACAAAATTCAACATCCATTCCTTATAACAATACTCAAGAAAACAGAACATGATGGATACTTTAACATATATCTATACTCACACATTCTCTCATACACACATGTATATATTATATATACGTATATTTATATAAGGATTGTGTGTATAGGTGTGCCTGCATACATGTATATATGTGTACATACACACACACACACTTTTGCATAATTTTGATAAATCTGAAAAATTTTAAAGTAAATGAACAAGGTAATACATCTAAGATATGGAGATAATGATTTCTAAAAGCTTAGAAACCGATTTTAATATGTGAGATGTCAAGCATTCCATATCCCCTTATGCTGTTCTCTTGGCTATAGGGTATAAAACAAAGAACTTCTGCTGAAAGCCTTTTTAAAAGAAAGGATTTATTGGGCCATTGCTAGCAAGAAAGACCAGGTTCTGGGGCATGAAGTCTAAACAATCAGCACAGCTAGGTGGAAAAGACAACCATGCCTGCTGTCCTGGAGTTGAAGGGCTTTTGTATACATCAGGTAGGGGGAAGAAAGTGTCAATTGTTTAGAAAGAATTTACATTGGCTACAGATAAAGCGGGTGGGATTAGTCGAAGGAGGCTCAGTTCTGGGATGGGTAGAGTTTGTATTTGCTTCTATGGATTGGTTGTAAAAAGTTCCTGTGTAAGCAAGAAGCAGAGGCTCCTCCAGTGGGGTGATTGATGCCTGGCTAGTCTCTGTTAGATATCGATGAAAATAGCCACCTGGAAGTTAATTTAAAGTTCCCACTTACACACAGGAATGTGAGCAGTCTTTTGTTAGTTTTGCCCTGAAGTTAACAGATTAACCCCTTCTTGTCTCTTCCTTCTACCCTCTGGCCTGCTATAATTTAACTTAGGACATCTCAGAATTTCCTCCTTGTCAAAAGTAAAGATCAGAATTATTTTAGCAGTCACCAGCTTAGGATTTTTCTTAAGCCCTCTGACTGTGAGGTTTTTGACAGGGAGTTAGGGTCAGGAGAAGGTAAGTGGCTCTTCCCTATTGTATCCACGATGTATCTAAGCTATCATCCCTTCATTTCAGGTTCTCTAACTAATTAGGCTGTGCTAGGAACCCATTCCATTTCCTTATCTATCTATATTTGAAATCTCTCATTTTGATCTCATGTTTTTCTTACTAATATTTGTTTTCTATTTTTGCTCCTATTTGAAGGTACAACCACTGGTTTGATGGAATGGCTTTGCTTCACCAGTTTAGGATGGAGAAGGGCACGGTGACATATCGGAGCAAGTTTCTACAGAGTGATTCCTACAAGGCCAACAGTCTTCATAATCGAATTGTGGTCTCAGAATTTGGCACACTGGCTCTCCCTGACCCATGCAAGAATGTTTTTGAACGTTTCCTGTCCAAATTTGAAATGCCTAGTAAGTGGCTACTAATGTACCCAGAATTTGCAGGTGATAATGATTTTTATTATTATTATTTTTAATATATTTTTTATTGATTTCAGAGAGAGGAAGGGAGAGAGAGAGAGACAGAAATATCAATGATGAGAGAGAGTCATTGATCGGCTGCCTCTTGCACGCCCCCCTGCCAGGGATCGAGCCCACAACCTGGGCACGTGCCCTGACTGGGAACTGAACTGCGATCTCCTGGATCCTAGGTCAATGCTCAACCACTGAGCCACGCCATCTGGGCAATGATGATTATTTAAATTGTTATGATATATGACAATCTATATAAATCTTGCAATTTTTTTTGGTATGAGAGGATGTTTAAACTGCTACCTCCCTCCTCTTGTGGTGCTTCAATAACTCTGAGGTTTGGTTTCAGCAATAAGTGACAACACCAATGTCAACTATGTGCAGTACAAGGGTGATTACTACGTTAGTACCGAGGTCAACTTTATGAATAAAGTGGACATTGAAACCCTGGAAAAAACAGAAAAGGTAAAATATAGGTTAAAAAAGGAATAATATAGACCCCCAAATTTCTTTCCATTCAAATACTTTTCAGTGTAGTAGGTATCTGAATAAGAAATTGGAACCTTAACCAAACAAAACCAAAATTACCCACTATGCACCCTCTCCCCTGATTAGAATGACCTGTGGGGTTGGTTTTCCTTAATTCTAGACTTCTTCCTTAGTCCTGGGGTAAGGGAGGAATAGAATGGTACAGATTTACTTCGGCCAGCTCATGTTCTTCCTAGCTGCAGGCTGAATTGGACTGGAGATTGTTTAGACCCATGCTTTTGCTTAACACTTTAAAAGTTAAGTAAAATTTTGGACCAGAATTTTAATTTTATTTTTATATAAGAGAAAGTTTATTTAGAAAGTTACAGAGGTAGTAGAAGTGAGCCAGCTGGGCTGCATGGGCTCAGGAAACAAGTTACAGAGGCAGCAGAATGGCCCTTGGGACAGGCAAAGGGAAGGTGCCTGAGGGAAGACAAGGGGACAGGGAGGGGTGGGGGTGTGCCCCTGAGAGGGAGGGCGTGCCCAGAATTTTAATTTTAATTCTTATTCTTTTGAACTGTCCTATGATCTTGGGGGTGGTGGTGGAAATTACTCTTATCGGCTAATAATTTTTGCCCATTTTTTGTTTGTTAGTGGGGGGGGGGGTTGGT